ATGTTGTTATTTAGTCTAATACTGCTCCACAGGGTACGATGTTGATATTACTAATTCTGTAGTTAGTATGTAAATGATAGGTTCTTGATAGTTTTTTAATTTTTATTTAAGTAGTGATGCTGATAATGGTTTTATGTGTTCAGCATGTCGGGTTGATGGTGTTGGTCAAGTGGATGTTGGTGGCAGTAATGTGAATTTGCCTTCTGGTAATGTCTTCTATATATAACTTTTCATTCTTTTTTTCTAAATTTCTTAACTTTGTATATTTATTTATTCACTAGCATTTTCTAATTTAAGCTCCATGTCGACACGGGGGTGATCTTCATTTGGATTCTGATTTTGAATATACTGATTCTCAACTTGATCTAATTGTTGCCATTACACAAGGAGAGAGACGTAATGTAAATCAATCTGGAAATGAACTGACAACTCATGCTGTAAATAAGTCTAAACCTGATCAGTCGGTATCAAGAAGTATTGTCCAGATACAAACAGACGTTGAAACTACTCCTGCAATTTTCGCACGGAGAAGGCGCCCCGCAGCTGTAAAACAGTCGCCGTATAGGAATGACTGGCAATCTGGTATTAGTGCAGTCGGGGGATCCTCGAAGGTTATCAAAGGAAGATTTCCATTTGTAAATGAAATTTCAGAGACTGTTGATTTTAAGCTTACGACTGCATTCTCAAACTTTGTTGAAGCAAACATGCAATTGGGAGAGTGCGTATTCGTTTCCATGTACTTTTGTTTTCATTTTTTCATGTTTGTTGTTATATTTCTTATCCATATCTTATTTTATACGAAATAAGGAAGTGTATTTACCTGGTGATCAAAAGCTAGAGCCTTGTTTTGACTTTGAAGTTGAACAGATTGATGATAAGACATTTTTCCATATCTTAAACTATTCTAGCAGGCCGCTCTCTAGTTCGGTATGTGTACTGCTTTTTATTTTTGTTGTTGTAGTAGTTCATTCATATTGTTAGTGGTAGTCATGTTTTCTTCCTTTCTTTTTTGCAGCACTTGAATATTATATTCTACTATCTTAGGAAGAAGGCGAAATATGGTTTTCAAATACTCTTTTTAATAATATCATTCAAAGGGTTTTCACAGAATTTGTAAAAGGTGGGAAACAAGATCATTTGACTGATAGATCAGACGATATCATGGAGTGCATGAAAGGATTTAGGATGCATTGCAACACTCCATGGCACCAGGTTGATCATGCCATTTTTCCAATTAATTTGGTAGAAATTTGGCATTGGATATTGTGGTGTGTGTCATTCCACAAGAGATGTTTTTACGTATATGACTCGCTACGTAGTCGAAAGCACAAAAAAGCTATTCAAAAAGTGGCAGAGGCTTATGCTGTGTTGATCCCCCTATTTCTAGTTAGTACTGAATTTTATAACCAAAGAAGTGACATTGTAGTAAAAAATGGTCTGCACATGGGAAAGAAGTTGATTGATCCTTTTGAGATTGAACTGATTACAAATCTGCCAACACAACAAAATTCGTAAGAATAGTTACTTTTTTTTTACTTTGTTTTCCTCATTCATATTAACATTTTCACTTCTAATTGATTTTTATAGTATATTCATTTGTTTTATTTCAGAGATTGTGGAGTATATGTTGCTTGCTTTGCTGAGTATATTATTGAAGATCTTCCAATCCCTGTTGCCAATTTTGATGTGGATGGTCTTCGAGCTAGATTTGGTATATTGTTGTGGCACTATGGGAGGAATAAGCAGTTGCATGGCGAATCAAGTGAATCTGAGGCTCCAGTAGCACCTAAAAAGACTCGTGGAAAGAAACGCAAGAAGTAGTATAGGTCTCTTTTTGGTTTTAGTTAATTGTATCATGAAAACTTTGCAGGATTTTAATAGTTTTTGGTGAAGTATGGTATTATTAGTAGTAAATGACCTTCTGTTGATTCAAGACTATAGGAAACTTGTGCCTTTATAAAATATTTCCAGCTGCTAATGTTTCTTTTATCATATTTAATTATTCTGGTTCAGAATATGTGGTATAGATTTCTTCAAGTACATGGGGGTTATCAGTTTAGTTATGTCTCTTGATGCTGAAAATTTGCTGATTTTGTTTCTGATTTCAGCTTGTTTTATTAGGCTTTTCTTAGGCTTCTTCCATAAAGTTGTTAGTTTATTAGGATACCGAGGTTCATTCCTTTGCTAGAGGGTAAGGTTTAATGGATTCTGCAAGTGAAAATTAGGGGCAGATGAAGCAAACACTTCCAACAATATACAAAGTAGTTGTGACAGAAGTTAAATGATCTGCTTTCGAATGTGATGATGGTCTAAGCTTTAATGTTCATCTGTAGTTTTAGCATAGATGGTGTATTAGTGTAGTAGAACTATATACCAATCAGGTATACTGATATACCATTTGGGTATCACGTTGTATTTGACTCACCTTTTTTCCTTCAGCAACTAGATGTAAGTACTGACATGAGTTGCAAAGCGTGCGCATTTTGGTATCACGTTGTATCTGGTGCTCCATTTGTATTTCTGCGCATATTTTGTTTTTGCCATATTAGTGCAATACCACTATATACCAGCGAGGTATACAAATATAACATTTGGGTATCACCTTGTATTAATGTACCTGATGATGTACAATAACTGCATGTAAATGACTTCCAATTTGTTATACTTCAATACAGACATGAGCTGCAAAGCGTGCCCATTTTGTTAACAAAGTATGTACAAATGTTGCATTTGCAGCACCACTTCTATTTTTGCACATATTATGATACTAATAAGATATACAAATATACCAATAAGGTATACAGATATACCACTTGGGTATTACGTATATATTTTAGCATCTTTTTTCCTGCAGCAACTAGATGTAAATGCATCCCACTTTTATATACTAAAATAGAAAATAAATAGATTCTTATTGAAAATACAAGTAGCCATATAAATTTGTTGCCAAAAAGTAATTTCTCAAAGAATCATCATACCAAATATATGTCTAGTGCAAGAAATGCATTTTATTTTTTTGCAATTCAAATGCTATGATTCTACGATATATGAGTTCTATAAAAATATTGAAGCATTATATCAATCTCTCTTTGGAATATTTCGGCATGTTCTCCGGTTGTGTCCTTTTCTCCCGCATAGTGCACATGTAACTGTATTTCCTTCCCAGCCTCCTATGCCTCTCTTCTTTTTAGGTCTTCCTGGTTTGATTTTTCCTTTTGGTGGCAGTACCACCTGCGAAGAGACATGTTCTGGAATTTGCCACGTTGTTTCATCAGGCAATGGATTTACTGGTATCTCATATGTTTTCAGCAAGTAGTCTATGTTGTAGTAATCCGAGCAATACTTGTATGAATCCATATGGAATTTTTGTATAACTGCCATTGCATGTGGACATGGAATATCGTCTAGCTGAAACCTCCCACAAGTGCAGTTTCTTTCATGTAGGCGCACCACATTTCTTGTTTGGCCATCAATTACTAAATGTAAGAATTCAGTTGATGGCAACACCTAGTATAATTTTAATTAAGAAAAGTCATTAGCTATATGAAGTAATAATATTATTTAAATAATAATATTCAGTTGTTTAGTGAAATCACTAAGGTAAAAAAGTAAAAATACAGTACATGCAGTATTTTTATGATTTTGAAAATGCATACCGTCATCGTCTATGATAAGATAGTATTATCTGCCAATATTTTTTCATACTTTGCACCAATCTTCATAAATGATTCCACTGCATCCTTCCGATTGGTGTAATTCCATTTTTGAATCAATGTTGTCATAAAGTCAAGCAAATTCACAACTGGGAGGTCTCTTGCGTGCTTGTTTGCTGCATTTACTGATTCCGCAATATTCGATGTCATGGTCATGGTTCTATTTGCCTTGGAATGCGCCCGGGACCATNAGGACCATTTATCATATCCAATATCCATCAGATATGTTTTCACTCTACTATCAATAGCTTCTAACTCTGCCATATGCATGTTGAATTCTTCAACAGTGTATGCTCTTGCTAACGCAAAATATACTTCTTTGATTTGTTTTTGGCTCTTCCTGAAGTTTGTCTTTATGTTGTTCCACAGATGGAACATACATGCACAATGAGGGACTTCTGGATAGACAATTGAAGTTGCTTTCCATATAGCATCATGCATGTCTGATACAATGCACATTCCCTCTCTTTGTCCATAGGTTTCTTTGAACTGCACGAAGAACCATTCCCACGATGCATCATTTTCCGAATCAACAATTGCATATGCAAGGGGTAGAATTTGTCCTGTAAACCCAAAGAACAAAATATCAATTACCATACTGGTATCATATAATATTTGAAAATGTTTTTTTGTTTCTTTAACTGAATGTAATTGGATTGTACACAAAATATTAATTTAGTATTTCATATAGTAGTATAGTTATAGGTACGCGCA